AATGTCTATTATGAACTATTTTCTTTGAAGTGACCTTCCAGCTGGTGTGCCAAATTTGTTGGATATAAAGGTGCGTTGTTCTTTATTATTTCGCTAGTTTTTTGCCTTCCGACGACCGTTCTCTGTGCGGAAGGCTGCTGTGATATTCGGTAGTGAGCACATTCTCTATTGCTTGCTAAATGTTGGTAGAAATGAATAATGGCTATAACAAACTAATGTTTATAATGAAGTACAGTTGAACTTGCTTATAACAAACCTTTTTATAACGAATCCCTTGATATAACGAACTTTACCGAACAGTTTCTCATGGTATCCGTATCTGTATCCGTGTCATTTGCTTTTCGTTTTCGACGCCGTGCGCGCACGCAGTGAAACTGCGTGCGCATGGTGTGGCCCCTGATGTCGAGCTTTTGCTTTCTTTATTTTATTGCGAATATATAAAGTACCGGCTGGATTTTTTTTTTTTTTTTTGCCGTCGCCGCCATCGTCATTATTCACCGTATATGTATATGTATCTATACAAATAAGAACTCAAGAACAAAAAAAAAAAAAAGACCGCACTCGGTGCCCAGCCTGTCACGATGCTCGGACATGTGCTTATCTCCCACACGAACTTTGTCCCACGATGTGGAGGCAGGAGAGGGGAGGTGGATGCTTGTGCGCGCGCTTATCCGTCGAGGGGGGGGGGTGAGGGAGAATCGCACGCCTTCGACTTGACCAGTACGATTGCGTTTAGTTGCCGAGTACACAAAGACCACTTTGCTCGCTGCAGAAGTGCCGTTTGCGAAAAGAGTGTGCTTTTCTAACACAACGAAGTAACAACTGGGGTACTTGTTAGTTTGCACTCATATCTGTACCTGTGATTACGTTTCGTGACTTGTTTTTGTTTAAACAGCGCGTTAAGTGTCGAGCGGTAAACGTTGTTGGTTTGCTCTCGTCCTTTGTATGTTGTTTTCGTGCATCATTTGTGCGTGAGCAGCGCGCTGCACCTTTCGATCTGCTTGCCGTTTTCAGCGTTACATTCCAAGTTGTTACGCATTCATTGCTTCGCCCTTGTGGTGAAACTTTAACTTTTCTTAATTTCGGACAACTGTGTTGTCACCACCGAGGGGATGTCAGATTAGGCGCTGATGGACACTCTCTGAGACCGCGTACGGTGAAGATGGATCTTCGGAGGTCGACTAGTCACGCTCTTCCGTCTTGAGCTGCGCCACGAGTTTGCAGGCGTGGTGCATTGTCGGCGATGTCGCGATTAGCCGATTTCGCGATAAGCCGGTTAGTTCTGGCAACAACACTGCGCGCTGAATGCAGTGCGATATAAAAAATTTTAATGCCATAAGAAGTAAGGCTGGCAGCCAACGCTTTTGGATCCGATATCTCGGAACACCTACAAAACGCTGATGTGAGCAAATGCAGACGCTCCAGGGAAAAGTGTTGTTTTCACACAGTCCTTTTGCGTTAAAATTGCACTGATACTCGTCCAGATACCAAGCGCGCCAGTGATCGCGACTGCCATTGAAATCCAAGTTTATTATTGCTACTCGAGCGATCTTTCCTCCCCGCATTGTTTCATGCTCGTTCAAGACGGGTGGTTTACTTTCTTTTTGAGCATTTGGCTGTTCTAACATGCAGGAGATGTTATGCACTTTCCAGGCGATAGGGATAGGCTGATTCAATTGATCTTGTCCTTCAGCAGCACTCGTGCGCTTTTACCCGCTCGTGTAAGTTACGATGCGCGGGGGCATATTATCAGTTGGACAAGTTATGGAACATGGTGCCGATTGCAAAAACCTGTTAAGAGCATCCAAATAATTGCTATCACAATAATAATGCAGTTTTTACTTTAAAATAAGTGTTTCGGGTTAGCTCTGCCCTTAGTCCTCTTTTCGTTTATTTTGCGCATTTATTTTCCGAATTTTCGTACCGAACCTGTATGTAACGAAATTCTCTTTATAACGAATTTTCTGGGGATTTATCAATTTCGTTATATCCAGGTTTAACTAATTATGACTCCCCTTCAACTTCGTTATAACGAGGTTTGACTGTATACCTATGCCGAAGTGCTCCTTATAGTACGATTACCTGCTTCAGAGCTAAATTTATACTGCGCTAAAATGCTTCTAATAGAAAGACTACCTGCTCCAAAATGCTCCATAACTAAATTTTACTGCTCTAAAATGCTCCTAATCGCAAGATTACCTGCTCCAAAATGCACCAAAAGTAAAATTTTAGTGCTCCAATATTTATTTATTTATTTATTTATTTGAGAATACGTCACAGACCCCGTAAGAGGCATAGGGTGAGGGGGGTATACAGTAGAATTCAATACATTGTAAAGGAAGATTTCCGCAGAGTACAATTACAGGGCAGAAGAATAAAATAATATTGAATAAAATAACAAATAGAAAAGAGATTAACAGATAACTATACATGCAAACGAGGCAAAAAAATTATTTGCGCACGACATAGTAAGTATTGTGTGAGAGTAATATAATACGAAGTACAGCCACAATACACATAACAGCCACCATGCAATTGCGTCATTGTAAAAAAACAAAAAAATGTGTGACAGTGGTATGAAAAGACAGACACCATCAGTTTGAAAAGTGCCCTTACAATAGCTTATCAAAAAGAAGTTTTACAAATAAAAAATCAAGGATATTAAGCCTAGTGTGTGGAAAAATGTTTGTTCAACTGAAGACAAAAAGCATCATGGTCTCTAAGTGAAGCAATGTTGTCTGGTAAGCTGTTCCAGAGACGCATAGCGCGAGGTAGTGGGGAAAAATTGAATGATTGCGTTGCACCATATAGGCGGGCGTAACTGAGAGTGTTGTGCAATCTTCGCGATGTATAGATGTGATGATTCGAACGGGGTAGTGATAAGTCGTCAGAGTGAATGACCTTATGGAAAAATGACAGCAATGCAATGCACAACTATAGTAACAAATTACTGTAGTTGTGAGCAATGAAACGGCTTGCCCTATTCTGAATGATTTATAATGCTTTTCGATAAAGTATTTCTGATGTGGTGACCAAATCAGAGACGCATACTCAAGCTGTGGTCATACAAAAGTTAGATATGCAAGTTTTGGCAAGCGGGAGGGTGCATTGCGCATGTTTCGACGCAAGAATCCTAATGATTTGGATGCAGTGGCACATACGCAAGTTATGTGCTTTGACCATAATAAATTAGGTGTAAGGTGCACGCCTAGATAGTTATAGGTCGAGGTCGGCGATATGACAATACTGTTGATGTGATAAGAAAAATGTGAATTCACAGGTTTGCGGGTGAAAGACATATTACACTTCGACACGTTTAGTGTCATGAGCCATGTGTTACACCACTGGTTTACTATTTCTAGGTCTCGTTGAAGCATGATATGAACGTCAATGTTGGTTATTGGGCAGTAAATTAGGCAGTCATCGGCAAATATTCGTATGCAAGAGGTGATGTTGTTAAGCAGATTATTTATATAGATTAAAAACAACAGAGGCCTGAGGACGCTACCCTGCGGCGCGTGAGAAGAAACGATAGATTTAGAGGAATCGTCTCTATTAACAGAAGTAAATTGCTCTCGATTGGACATGCTCGTAATTGCAAAATTGCTTGCTCCAAAGTGCTCCAAAACTAATATTTTACGGCTCCAAAGTGCTCCAAAACTAAAATTTGACTGCTCCTAAAATTGCTCCAAATCGGCAGTCCCTTGTAGGATCAATGAATGATTTTTGACCCTGGAAAGTTGCTCCAAAACAAACTTACATTGCTCCGAAACACTCGTCTTGGTTTTCTGAACCTGATCCAATACTCCCATTTTACTGCGCCAAAGCAGCTCTAAAACAGCATTATTCTTGCTTCCTGAGCTTTTCCAAAACGCTAAAGTCCACTTCTGACCCTGCTACATTTAAACCTCAATATAACAAATGCAAATACAATGAATTATCATTTATGACGAAGTAAATGACGAATAGCTCTGTCATTGATACAGTGCTACAAATATATGTATAAACAAATTTTCGGATATAACTATGTACCTTAAAGGCAGGTGTGACTTTGTTATAATGAGGTGTGATTGTACACGATGTGACACGACGACGTAATTCATTGTCACTCGGTGAAAGGTTGGCCAATCTGAGAGTCACTGTATCACCACACGAGTGGCAGGAAGCTTGAACAGAGTGTTGTGCGCTTCGTACACGTTTTGCCATGCCGACACAGTCCAGGCACTGTGTTGGCATGGTTGTGTGTTGAAAGTATGGGTAGACCGTGCATTGCGAGAATGCGTAGGCAGCAGTGTCCTTATAGCAAACACTGACAAGGGAAAAGGCCACAAGGGTGGAGTGCAGCAAAGCTACTCAGCCAATTTCCCAGAATGCAGTGGCTTTATGTTTTTCTTCTTATTTTTTAATTCCTGAGACACGTTGCTGCTACTCACAAAATTATGTACACCCATTGAGGTTACCCTGCAGATGTGGTGTTGCTTTATTCAGCATGAGGGTACGCGTTCAGTACCCAGCCACTGCTGCAGCATTTGGATGGGCATGAATGAAAACACAGCTGCATACTTAAAAAGGAATCTAGACGACCTAAATTAGTCTGGAATTTTCCGCTATAGCCATGTCATGATTCTGGCATGTCAAACTCTAGATCTTATTCAATTCCTTGTAATGTGTGCAACACCATGCATTGATGTGCTAGCCTTTCTTTGTAGCTCAGTTTTCAGGTTCCTTAATGTGCCAGAGTTTAGTGCATAGTGTAGCAGTAGGGTAGGAAAAAAAGTACACATATTGCTTCAAGTGCTATAATCTTTGGGCCGCTTTCTCAACCATTTGGCAGAAAAAAAGAAATTAAAATTGTAGGGACCCACATTGTACTCTTGATTATACCCCATTGTTAGCTTTGGTGCCTATGGTGCTGCACTGCATTCTTCTGATTTTTAGTGTGACGACGAATGCTTCTTTTCTGTGGCGGTAGTGACAGTGACTGCCGTTTCAACCTGCAGGTGTTATGGAGAGCATAAAAAATCCCGTTGACAAGGATTACCTCCTCCACTTCATCCACGAATGGGGGTTTCGCAAGAGGCCGACAGATAGCGAACTGATGCCACCTCCAAACCAGCGCGCCGCACCCTAGTGGAGACCCCGTTGTGTCGACAGAGCCAACGTGCGCTACCGCCGCTTCGTAGCTCGCTGAACTACAACGATGCGCTCGCTCCATTTCCATCGGAGCCAAGAACTGACGGCGGCCGCTTCCGAAGTTCTTGGGACTCGGTCACTCGCCTATTGCGTGAAATGCACGTTTTCTGGCCCACGAGCCGCAGTGTAGTCTCCTTCACGCATTCACTATGACACAGGACACAAGGAATGGTGTGTGGAGTCACCGCAGCTGTGGTACCGTCTTCATTCAGCGTGTGTAAATAGAGACGGGCACTGAGAAAGCATCACTGACCGTGTCACTGTGGCAAGGGGAAACGCCGCGACTAGCAAGTGTGTTCGAGATGGGCGACCGTGTGACAACACATGTGGCACAACTGGTGCCCCCGTGAGGCGTGTGTTGACTGTGAACGCCGTGTGTTACCTCAAGGTGCTCTCTACAGGGCGAAATTGCTTCGTCTCCCATAGCACTGGTCTGTCTACGAGTGCTTCTTTACCTCTCTCACTCTTTTGCACTCCCCTTTCTTGTGCTCTGTTTGTCTGGTTTTTCAGGCTCCTGTTTCGAATAAATAGGCTGATTGCGACCACCCACTGCTTTTGCTTTGGGGGCAGGAGGGGGGGGGGGGGTGACCTTGTTTGTTAGCAGCCTATGCATGCACAAATCGCTGCCTTTTTTATTTGTTTTGTCTTTGCTTCTTTTGAAGAACATTGTTTGACTTGCACACCGCTTTAAGTGCTGCAGATTTCTCATACGCGCATTTAGCTTGTAGCCCTAGTGCTGGCAGCAAACCACCCCATGAAAGTGAGAAGGAAAAAGCATAGGATGGAGGCAAGATTGGATCATGAGCACGCTTCGAACAGAAAGGGTTTATTTTGAAGCGATGTGCATAAAGTGCAGACGGAAGAACTGCTGGTCGAAGTTGCAGCTTGGCAATCCTGCAACCCCTTTTGGAAAAACAAGAAGTGAGAATGGTGTGCTCTTGTACATGAGCATTACTTACCAGTGGCATTTACAGCTATAGCTGCAGGAGCTGACTATAACACTGCTAGGATCACCCCATTCACTGAAGAGAGAAAAATGAGTGAGTGATAAGCGTCTGTTTGTCTAGATTCTCATCGACATCAAATTGCTTTAGTAGCGAATAGTCAGCTCTTTGTTTTTGTAGCTTGGTTATGTCGACTATGCATAGATAGGCTCAAAAGCCCATTATTTTATTGTGAGCATGTTCAGCATTAGATGGATCATGAGAAGGTGTGTTTACCTTTGTTGCTCAAACTGTAGCAGCAGTCAACTTGCGTAAGGAATGCGCTGCAAGCTGGTTTATAGAGCAACCGTTCGGTCTCCGTGACGTAAGCTGCTGGTTGTGCCACATGTGGGTCTTGCAGAAGCAATAGTTGCTGACATCCTAGCGTGTTCTTATTATGGCCAGTGTAGATATGCCCTCATAGGCAGGAAAGTTTCCACTTCCTCGAATAGCTCGTGAAGAACCGTGGGTCACCAGCACAAGAACTTTACTGTAGTGGTAGCTTGACATTGGTCAAATTTTTCGACTTGGTGGAAGCTATGGAGCATTCGCAGCATCCACATTGGTCACATTTTTCACTTTTGCCAAGTTGCTGGTAAAGAAAAGTCTTGTGTGTACGCTTGCCCTCATAAATATTAGTGCCGGCTTTTAAGTGGCAGAGGGTGGCATTTTGGCACACTTGGGTGCTTTGAAATGTGTTGTCAGCAGAATGGTTTTAATTGTTAAATCTGGCTTTGCACATACTGATATTTTCTTGTAATTGGTGGGTACCTTTTCACCTGATGTCGGGCTGTTCTCTGTTGTCGCATATATTTTTTTTTTACCTCATTTCTCATTCTCCTTTTGGCCTGGGCAATGTGTGTATATGTGTGTGCTTCACAGAAAGGACATTGCACGTATTTTTGTTTGAAGTGTGCGAAGCAAGAGTGTATTTAGCAGTGTTTTGTTGTGCCCTTATTTGTTGATTTTTTTTCTTCTAGAAGCGCTGCATGAGTGAGGTGATGCTGTTTCCCCTCATCGTAATAAATGAATGCTTGGAAACAAATGCGGCTTTCAGTGGTTGTTTGTGTCTTAACATGAAATGTATTTAACTTTATGTTTTGGCGACCGTCAACACTATGCACAGTGCACTGAGAAGATTTTGGAAATTGGACATCCTGCTATTTGATTTTGTTCTTATATGGAACTGCCACAGCTCAAAATTTCTATGATAGAGATTGAGAGATATAAAGTCTGGCCTGAAGTTATATGCAAACTTTCAATTTGATCTTAGCATAATGCAACGAGACAAAACGTGCGCACTTAAATCTCCGAAGTTGTAAACTGTTGCCGTGTTTAACCAGTCAGCAGAGCTAATGGCGCTGGAAGAATCTTGGCTATAGAACCTTTGGTGTGTTGAGGTCACATTCGAAAGGTGCGTTCAGCAGTTGTTGACACGTTATTACTTCAGATTCATGAATGCTTCGTAGCTGCTGCCACTATAGTTAGTTGCACTGGCTATCATTTCTGCGGCTAAAGCTTATATTGCATGTGCTACAATTTCACTTCAATATAAAGAACAGAGGTATAAAGAAAATACAACTTGAGAAAAAACCACCTGTACCAACAAGGAATGAATGCATGACTAGAATGAATAGAACAAAGGAATTGATATGAGTGCTGAAAGTATGATTGAGATTTCATTGTGGGCATAATGTTATCTACAATAGTGGCCATAGGCTATTCACATAAAAGGTACTCGTAGAACTCGCATGAATCTTTTTGTGTGGTAAGGAACAGGCATGACCACTTGTGTGGGCTGAAAGGTAGCAGCCATATCGTGTAAGCCATCACATCACTGGGCTCTATTGGACATCTTGTCAGGCTTTTGATAGCGAAAGCTGATATGAGATGATAATGAAGGCTACTTTTGGCGCTGCTGCCAATGGTGTACATAACCGCTATTGCCGAAATAAGACAAAAAAATTTAAAAATATCCAAGATAGAGCAGGGTTCTACCACAGAGTCATGCCAGTTCTTCATACTTCATAGCAAAAAGAGCCTATACAGGCTTCCTGGATGGAAAGAATGACGTTAACATGAAGTCATAAAGCATGGTAGAAGAGTGAACTAGCGAGGCATCACACAGTCCTAACTAAATGTGTTACCAGGCATCGCACAATGCAAATTGCATAAAGAGTGGGCTCTTGAATGCTTTCAACTTATTACAAATGGCTCAGCCATAATTCTTCATTGTGATCACATAAACGCATAAGGCTTTGCAGATGTGTAGTGGCTACCTCGGTTCTCCGCAGAATGACAAATTATGGCAGAATGACAATGTAACAAAAATTATGATTTATGCCATAGTGGGTTGGGCACCTTGCAAGTGTACTTGTATTAGTAGTCCCAAGAGAGTTTACAACAGACTCTGAAAATTTGCTCGTGCAGCTTTCGCTGTGACTGTGCTGCACTTTCTGCCCAGGACTAGCGTTTTTTTTTATAGCACAGCATGCACCGGTTACCATGTTAAGTGGCGTCTCTGTCGCCATCGGTGGTGTAACTGACAGATGTGAAAAAAAAACTGAGAAAAAAAAAACCCAGGATCAAGTGGGATTAGAACTTTGGCCCTCTGCATGGCCTTAGCTTGTATTAGTGCGGCACATATGAACAGGAAAAGATGACACAGATATCAAAAAAAGTAGGCGCTAAGCTTCCTACTGTTTATTTTATGCCCTTCACATCCATCTTATGTGTAAAAACACTACTCATCTTGCACATGGTCTCATTCCAAGAAACGTTTCTTATCCGTCAGTGTAATTGATGGTGAGCTCACACACAAGTTCCCCATATCTGGTATAGCTTCAGCTTCTTTGATTTCACGTGTCAGCTGATTCCGTGATTGGCCGATAATGATGCAGCTGTACAGATTAGAGCACCCACAATCTTTGCAGTGCGCTGCTAGGAACCCTCCCACTGAAACTTTATTTCTTGTGTTGTAGTGATGTTCATGTAACCTTATGATTAAGACACTGCTTGACCTGCCCTATACTGTACTCCCACACGATAACAAAAACTTCTAGACAATGCAGCGTACACGATTTGCATATCTAACCTGGTGTCTTTTATCACAGACCGAGCCACAACACTTTCGAACCTTTGCATGGCAGTCAAGTATTTTACCTCGGGGCCATGCCGGGGCTCAAAACTCATTTGAAGAAAGATCATATACTGGCACTATGTCAAGTGACAAATGTTGTTAACCTATGTAATATAGCGTGGCATAAGAGTGAGACAGCAGACAGTCATCTCACAATTCAAATTACACAACGAGTAGGAGGTTGATTTTCACCAACTGCAAAGTGCTCAGCCATAATAATTCGTTGTCATCAGTGACATGCAGCGTCAGCGAAGTTGATATACCTTGAAAATGTGTAGTGGGTACTTATCTTACCCACGGAGACATAAATAGTAATCGTGTAGTGGGTGCTGTCCTATTTCACAAATGGTATGCTGCACTCAAAGTTTGCACTACGTAGTATCGTAATCGTTGGTGAATTTATTTGTGTGTATTTTCTTAATGTAGCTGACATGCTTTGTGCTTTTGTTTTGACTATGAATTAGTAGTGACAGCGGCACAGCAAATGAAGTGAGCATCAAAATTCAGAAGTATGCGATGAAAGTTCCTAAACAGTTGAGAAGTTAAAGTCTGTAGTACTTATTAGATCAAAGCCAATAAAATGTTTCCTTAAGAAAAGAAGAGATTTAGATAATGAATGGCTACATATCTTTGACCTGGAATAAGTGTGTGGGGTGAATATAACTGTGATGGCGCATTTTTTTTATTCACCTAGGTGTGTTAGGTAGCTTCATATTCATACACTGCAAGGCTTTTCAGTGTCTAAAGAGTTGTTCAGTGCTTGAATCTTTCGGGGAAAGCACTGAAGAGTCTTGCAGGCAGTTTAAATATGGTGGTTTACTGATAGTTGGCAAGTCTATAAACACGAAATGTATGAAAGCGCTTTCCCAAAGGAGGCTGGCGAGTCCTAAAGTGGTTAAATTGGCTGAGCTTAGTTAGAGGATAACTAAGTGGGCTTGTTGGTATCTCATAACTAAGTAAAACTTTGAGTGCACTTGTATGTCACGGGCTCAGAAAGAAAAACGCACCACGAGCGCTCACTCGCAACTGAATTTTATTAGACAACAGAACACACATATACAAGTATCGTATCACGCATGTCACATGGAGGTACAAGTCTACATCAAGGCACGTGTTCAGTGCATGTTAATGAAATTGAATTCCTTGTCATGCAGTGACAGAGATGCATGGTTGGCTTATGCATATCAAAGCATTCTTTGTGATGTGACATGCCTCTGACATTCCTTGCGTGGTCTGATGCAAGTGAAACAAAATTAGGGTGCTTTCGAACAGAGGTTTGCATTTACATATCTGGCATTGGGAAGCAAGATGAGATGAAGGTGTGCCGTTCGTGTCTTTTCAAACATCAAAACACTACCTCTCTGTTGCACGCACTATTTTTGCACCATGCCACACACACATCACTGGCCAACCTATCTATTTGCAAGTGGTGGCTGGCTATTTCGAACATATTCTCTGACTCTTAATGTGCACTACTGAGAGCACTGGAGAATCCAGAGGGGAGGGCAGAAACCCTAACTTTCTCCCCTTAGTTCATGTGCACCCTGGAAAGGACCTACAGGTCATAGACCCTATGCTGAACTTTAGGCACCAGAGTTGCAATAAGCGGACGCCGCCTTCGGAAAAATCCTCTAAGTCAAAACATTTTGATTGAGGGAGGGGCACTGCAGGGGTGGCGCCAGAAGTGGTGAGGGCGGGGGGGGGGGGGGGGGCTGGAGCTCCTCGAATCACCCTTCCTAAAGAGCAAGTGAGAAAAACCCATATGTTCCCCTCAGTAGCAAAATCCTGGTGCCGCCCCTGGGGCGCCAGGATTCCATTCAAATGCGCTCGCCGCGGCCGGGATTCGATCCCGCGACCGTCAAAGAGATGGGATTTATTTGATTGATACGTGGGGGTTAACGTCTTGAAACCACCATATGATTGAGAGACGCCGTAGTGGAGGGGCCTCGAAATTTCGACATCCTGGGGGGTTATTTGATGTGCGCCCAAATCTGAGCACACGGGCCTACAGCGATTTTGCCTTCATCGAAAATGCAGCCTGGATTCGATCCCGCGACTTGCGGGTCAGCAGCCGAGTACCTTAGCCACTAGACCACCGCGGCGGGGCAGCAGAGCTGGGAGTGCATGCATCAGCTCCACTTGGCTGCACATGTGTTCTCAGCCTTGAATGGCTTTAACATTGATTTCAAGAACAAGTGGGAGGTGGTTTAACCACCTACCCCTTTACAAGAAATGTGAACGCAGCCGCCGCAGCTCACATCACCCGACCGCTTCTGCCAAAAATATTCAAATAGCGCGCCCATCATTGGCGGCGCGGCGGTCGCTGTGCTTTTCCGCGTGCCGCCGGATTCGGCAAACTTAAAAAGTTACATCAGGTAGGTGTTCTGTGGTTACATGAGGCCCTTCAAAGACTTCAAAGTTAAAATGCTTAAAGAGCGTTGTTAAAGAGCTCACAGTGGCAGAGGCGCACAGCGGAGCAAGCAAAACTCAAGAAAACTTGCACATGCGTGCGGACAACCAAGAAAAGCGATCAACCTGCCACTTCTTGGCCTCACGTGACGAAAAGGAAACGTGTGGTGGGCTTTGTCTCCACGTGAGTCTTGACGTGCAAGTGCAACACACGAACTGGCTTCACTTCTCATTCCTTTGCGAGCTCTGCAAAGTGGTAGGTGTTTTCTGGTGACGCAGTGATGAGCCGATAATGGATGTCGAGGATGTGCATTGCCGAGGCGTTATCGGAGTAATGGTAAGTGTGCCGCGTCCATTTCAGTGACGGGCAAGGTTCCATTTGGCGTTGCATAAGTGGTTGCCAGACTGCTGCTAAATTTGGCAGAAAATTTTTTTTCTGTAGTTGTGGCTTTTTCGCAAGAGTTTGGTGCTATCCGCGGTGAATTTCGCGAGTGCAT